AACAGCCACGTGCCGGCAATCAGCCAGAACTGCTGGAGCCGGCCGGGGAAAGCCGCGGCCGGACGGAGAACCGCCAAGGATTGATTGACTTCCGGGAGGGGCGGGTCCCAACTGCTGGGACACTTATAACCACAGGGCGGATGGTGGCTTGCGGCTGGGGGCGGGGTAACAGGGCGCAGGGCCAATGAGGAGCCCTGCGTGGGGGCAAGTCCCATGAGAGAGAGAGAGAGAGAGAGAGAGACAGAAGTGCAAGTGCCTCTGTCTCTCTCTCTCTCTCTCTCTCTCTCATGGGACTTGCCGGAGGGCCGTGGGAGGGCCGCATTTATATAGAGCAGGGAGGGCTGCTCGAGGGCCGGATTAAACCGGGCCGCGGGCCGCAAATGGCCCGCGGGCCGGACTTTGGACATGTCTGCTATAGACTCACAAAAGCTTGGGAGGATAGAAGCATCACCTCTGCACTGTAATACTTTTTTATGTCTCTATCTTAACATTCATTACAGATGCTATCTTCAGTTGAAGAGGCACTGAGCTCTAGTGAAGAAGCAGTAACCCCACAAATTTTATTGTTTAGCTTGAAGAGTACTTTTGCTGTTACTTTTGCTGTTAGTATATCAACTTCACCTCAGAGCCAGTTGGGCCATTTTATTCTTGATCATGCAGGTTTCATCTTCCATTCTTTTACTTTGCAAAAGCTTTTTAGTGGGTGCCTTTTTTTGTCTTGGGAAACCTGGCAACTCCAAAGAAAATAAAGAAATATGCTACATTTCTTTTGTTATCTAAAATACTTCATTATTTCTCATTTTAAGTTGTTCCACCTGCTAGTAATTGTCAGTGGATTCTAATCATAGTCTACTTTGCAGGACTGTGTAAAGTTCTTCACCAATTTTTATGAGATGAGCCTGATCATACGTAATTTGCAGAGCGCTATTCCAATCAGGAGAGTCCCACTTCGCAAGAACATAGAACAACTCCGTTCTATTTTGGGTGTGCAAAAGTTTGATCTTGGTGTAATTTGTGTTGGTAATATGTACATACAGCAACTTAACAAAACTTATAGACAGAAGAATATCCCTACTGATGTGTTATCTTTTCCTTTTCATGAGGTATGTGTTTGCTTATTTATTCCTTTAGAGCTTTGCAGTAATTTTATCAGAAATCAGGTATTAATACATAGAACAGTATCTTCTTTATTTTATATATAAGGACAATGAAATCAGACAAATTAGGGATGATTTAGGCCCTACCCAGAAATCTTCATGTTAGAGGAAAGGACAATTACTGTGGCACATCATAAATAAAGGCCCTAAAAAACAGCAGGACTCATTACGTAAGGGTACAAACAAAAATGCATCAGTATTCATTACTGAATATCGTAATTAATACATATGAGAAGAAAGTAAATGTAAATTTTAATGTTAATATTTATCTTAATATTTTGATATTTTATCCTGTTTTACTTTCTAGAGTCAGCATTGGACAAGATGGGCTATATATAATAAATGAATAAATGTTTTATTATAAGTTTCTGTAGGGGATAGCAGTACAACTGATCTCCACATTCTCTGTAATTTACTTCTAGAATTCTTGTCCTAAGCATGTTTAGATGGAAATAAATCCCATTGAAAACAATGAATTATACTTCTGAGAGTATACCATTGGGCTTATATTATTATACCTATACATACAATCCTGATATATACCTAATACTAAGTCATAATATAGTTTGCTTTTGGCTTAGTGCGATATGGAAATGTGTTCCAAGAAGGAAGCCATAGCTTATAAATCATAATGCGTAAGTGTATATTTATTGAATAAGAAGCAACCAAGTATATGTCAGAAATGGATGAAGGAGAGCAAATTAAATTCATATCTCCCTGATTCAAGTACACTCATGTCTTTTAATACCATAAAGTGTTTAGAAATAAATATTGTATGATCTGTTCTTAACACCCCTATTTCATTTTCTACATGGCATCTGTTTTACCAAATTGAGAACATGTATGTAACTGAATTTTCTTTGGGGATATCATAGAATCTGGAAGGTGGAGAGTTACCCCAGCCCTGTTTTCAAGATGACTACAATTTGGGAGACATTTTTCTAGGAGTAGAATATATCTATCAACAGTGTGGACAGAACCACAGTGATTATAACAGTATTCTTACAGTAAGCGTACATTTATAAAAGTATTTTTATTTGAATAAAGTTCTGAAATGTTCAGTCATATGATGTATAAAAATGAAAATATTTTCATTGTTATTTCTCCAGTTATGAAAAAACTTTTTGGTATCAGAAAATATGACGTTAATGTCTCAGTCCCACTGACAGAAATCTTACTGTTTCACATTTAGAATAACATACATGTAGTACACAAATCCAAATGATCACTAGATGGCAGAAACAAGTTGTCTATATCTTTTTGCTGCCATCTAGTAGTTGTCCAGATTTTGGCAGCACAATTCTGGTAGCCCTTTGTTTTTTGAACCGCAGTACTCCTCAAGTTAGCCCATAACATGCTTGCTTTGAGTTTGTTTTTAGCTTTCTCATTTTTTCTAGCATGTGTTTATTGCAAGATTTTTTCTTAAACAAGTCACTAGCCTTTTTCCTTTCATAGTTAAGCTACTTAAATCATTATGCCAATTCAAAATATGAATAACTCATTAGTGAAAGCTTATGGTTACCACTCTTGTGCTTATCAGTTGACCTTGCCAGTTCCAGGAATGTTGCCAGCTCAATTCTAAGCTATCTAAGATCTATCTAAGAGTTATCTAAGATCCCCGCACAGCTGGTCACATGACTTAGTGGAGCTATTATTAAGGAGTTGGTAAGAGTTCCAAAAGTCATGTTTTCCCTACCCATTTACTCTTGCTGAAATCTAGCATTGTTTAAAAATGATGTGCTAGAGGTTCTAGGCTAGAAACAGGGAGACATTGTGTTCTAGTCTCACCTGAGGCATGAAAACAATCTGGATGACCTTGGGCCACTCATTCTCTCTCACCCCAACCTTCTTCGAAGTGGGGAAAATAAGCGAAGGGAGGAGTATTAGATATGTTGGCCAACTAGAGTTATTTTTTAAAAAAAATAATAATAAAGGCAGAATAAAAAAATCTAAAATAAAATATGGGAATACGGTGAGTTGACAAGCTGAGTTCTCAGCAAAACCTCTTCCCAAGAAAGCAGAACTCTTGGAACCGAATCATCCCAAAAGAAACTTTTATTAGGAGAAGTTGACAGCAGGCATAGAAGGCAGTATCTGAGGGTTTCCCACTCAATAGGTTAAAGGAGCAAAAAACAAACCCCACCCCAATAGTTCATCCATAGTTCAAACGGGCCAATCCCCAGGTGTTAAGTCTGCTGTGGGAATGAGGCTGATAAGACTCTGTTCCCAAGGCTGTGAAAACGGTGTTGGGTCTTTGCACCTTCTCTTCAGCAGCAAGAGATAAGCCAGATGGCCGGAGGCACATTCCTTTCTCACCCCAGGTTGGCATCAAGGGGAGAACAGTTCAAAGAACAAGCAGAGGAAGCGGAGAGGATACATTGTAGCAGCTAAGAAAAAAGAAAAAATACACAATTCCCCAAAGGTCTCCCCCTCCCCCCAGGAGCATGGCAGAACCTGCAGAAGGGAAAAGAAAAAGCCCAACTAGTAAAAAGTCTTCCCCCCCCAAAGAAAGGGGTTCTGACATGGGCAGATGGCATGTCCAATGTCTATCATGCTCCTTAGTCTTCCAGCTGTGTCCATTGAGGCAGAGGACGGGTAGGATCTCACTCTTTATGGAAAAAAAAGTTTGCCAACCCCTTTAGTAGAATTGCTAGCAATACAAAATGCGGTTTAAATTGAATGGCATACATTGAATAACTGTTCACTCTACAATTCTAACTCCTTTTCACTGACTAGGGAGAAATCACAGTGACATTTTCACAGTATTCTTTATAAATGATGACCGTTTCTATTATGATTTTATGACTATTGTGATGTTTTCTCTAATACTCTATTTTGCCTGTTAGTTAGGAATATGTGAACCATTTACAAGCTTTTTTCTCTTAAATAGGTGACAATTGCCCATGGCATGTGCCACTTGCTTGGTTATAAACATAATACAGAAACAAACTGGCAACAAGTAAGTATTCCAACTGATTTGACAAATTCTAATTTTTCAGTTTTCTTTAGTGTTCAAAGCTTCCAAATGTAAGCTTATGTAAATGCATCCTAAGATTTTCTGATTGACTTGTTCAGTACATTTAAATTCCAAATTTTAAATCCAAGCTTGTAAGATCAGATGTTGTATTATTTGAAAGGAAACGTATGCATTCACTGTGGCCTTGCTCTTTTTCAGATGTATGAAAAGGAAACACAAATTCTGCACAAGTTAAGCAAATTGACAGGCACAAACTTTGAACCTCTGTCAAAACACCAATTCTAAATGTTATATTTATATGCTGTTTCATTAAAATAATTTTTCTTAATTTCTCCTTCTTCTTCAGTCAGCTGAATACAATTACCCCCTGAACTAATTTTGCTAGAAAATCTACTAATCACACTAGCAAAATACTTTGAAAGCTCCTAATTGCCCTCCTGCTTCCTTTTCTACCTTCACCATCACTGCTACTGTTCTCTCTTGAAAGCTGTGTTGGCCAGGTAGTTGAACTGCTTCAAGACCAAAGCTGTTTTTCTCTTCCACCCCTACCCTACCCTACAGTTGCACATCCAAAATAAAACCCAGCAATATCCTCTTCCACTGAAGATCATAATTATAGCTCCTCTAATCTGAGTCACACCATCCCAAATGTGGTTGTTTTTGATTATTTTTTCCCAGAAGGGAACAAAACAGCAGTGAAAGTAATCACAGTTCCTTAAGCACATTCTGCACTAGCTACTAAAGGAACCCTCCATTTCTTCCTTTATAACTGTCCCAGAAGAGAAGAACACGAAGCTGTAAAGTGGATTCCATATTGTGGGTTAGGGTTGAAAAGTCCTGCACTCGAAAACGCCGATGCATGCCCATTTCTCCGTCAAGCACAACAGCCTCGTCTTCCAAAATTCAGCCCAGGTTTTGCATCGGACCTTCTCTGCCCGCCTCCAGTCCAACTGAGCCCGCCCCTTCTCTGGAGCAGAGGCCCCAGATGGCGCTGCGCTGGAGCTGCGGATTTCTCCGCCTGTCTCCCGTCCTTGTTCTTTTCCTTCTCGCCACCGCCCAGGCGCCCTTCGAAGCCTTCCAGGCGGGCCACAGTGCCTCCTCCCTGCCCGCTGCTGCCGTGGCGGCTCCTTTCAGAAGGTGAGAGAAGCAGCGCAGGCGCCGGGCCCGATAAGCGCGTTTGCAGCCCGCCCGCACTTCCTTGACTGACGGATCGAGGAGGCAGAGGGCCTGGGTCATCCCCTGCGACTGAGGGGGCCCAATCCGCGTTCTTCGGCCGCTTCCTCTTTTGCAGGGAAGAAGCCCAACGGAGGCCTCCGAAGGACCCCTGCGTCGGTTTGTGGGGATGCGAGAGCGCGGCCGAGCTTGCTCCGGGTTGTGGCTTTTCACCCTGGCTTTAATTCCTCAGGGTCTGAGTCTGTTCCCCGGGTCAGCCTCTTCTCTGGTTCATGACCATGTCCCCAATGCGGGAAACTTTAGCAGCCTCTTCAAAAGTCAACGTTGTTTCTGATTTGGACTGTTTTGTTTAATCTTGTTAGTATATTGAGGAAGTTTTAAAGTAACACGATGAGATTCGCCTGCTTTCCATCTCCATCCCATCCTCACAATTGCCTCTTCCAATAATAGCTGGATTGAAGGTGTTTGTACCAATAACAGCTAACTTAAAAGTATGTCCCAAGAAATACAGGTAGTCCTCGACTTATGACTGCAATTGAGTCCAAATTTTTTGTTGCTAAATGGGACATTTGTTAAGTGAATTTTGCTGCGTTTTACAACTTTTGCTGCCACAGTTGTTAAATAAATCATTGCAGTTGTTAAGTTAGCAATGTAGTAGTTAAGTGAATCTGGTTTCCCCATTGACATTGCTTACCATAAATACACAAAAGGTGATCACATGGCCCTGGAACACTGCAACCATCATAAATATGAATCAGTTCCCAAGCACCTGCATTGTGATCCTGTGACCATGGGGATGCTACAATGGTTGTACGTGTGAAAAAGGTACATAACTCACTTTCAGTGCCGTTGAATTTTGGTCAACAAATGAACTGTTGTAACTTGAGGACTACTTGTATTAACATAGTAACTCTTACCTATATAATATAGACATACAATACATATTTAAAGGAAGTGGTTTAGATAGGATTACTGTTTATATGCAGTAGCTTGTACATCTCTACTAAAACAAGTACTGCACATAATGATGGCAAATCCCACACTCAATTCATACTGCTGTTACCTGTTTGGGTAACAAAATGTCTAGAAGCAAATAACCAAGCTCAGGGAGCACCAAGAGCGCCACAGAGAGACTTAAATATTCAAGAAAGCCAGGCTTATTGAGAGGAATAAGATATCTAGTGGTTTTGAACTAACTCTTCACTGTAAAGATGTAATCAGAGGAACTAGCAAGATTTGAGGGGGTAGGGTGGGAAGAGAAAGTACAAGCTATTGGACTCATCCATAGTCTAATCCCAAGGACAAGATACGAGGGCAATTTGGAAATAAACCTCCGTTTGGTTATCAATGACAGACACTCGCAGATACAGAACTTTTATTATACACCAGTGGTGGCGAACCTATGGCACGGGTGCCAGAGGTGGCACTCAGAGCCCTCTCTGTGGGCACGTGCGCCATCGCTCCAGTCCTAGGCCTTCAGCTGGGTTTTATAAAACCTTTTCGCTTTAGGCCTCCACTGCCGTGTCCCCCCCCCCAAAAAAGGTTCAATCAATCAATTTCAACTTCTCGGGGGAAAAAAAAAGATCTTGCAAAGTTGGAATTGGTTGATTGAACTTTTTAGTCCCACCCAGTCTGCCGTTACCACCGCAGCCACGCCCACCCAATGGGTCACGCCCACCCAATGGGCCACACCCACCCAATTGGCCACATCCAGCCAATGGGCCATGCCCACCCGGCACCCGACCATGCATAATTGGGTTTTGGGTTGCAGTTTGGGCACTCGGTCTCTAAAAGGTTCGCCATCACTGTTATACACATTAGAAAACTACAACATTACATTACTTTTCGATATAATCACCATTCAAATTGAGGGACTTATAATGTCTTACAAGGTTTGAAATTCTTTAGTAATTGCTCAGCGCCAAATTTCGGCTATATGGAGGTGATCAAAAACATCCCAATGTAACTGCTTCAAAAGTTCTTGGGTGCATCGAGTGGTGTGCGAGCGAGCATTATCATGAACCAACATCACACCGGAAGTCAGCATCCCCCGACACTTGTTATGGATGGCTCGTCTGAGTTTTCGTAAGGTTTCAGAGTAGACTTCTGAATTGATGGTTGAACCACGCTCCATGAACTTCACTAGCAGTACTCCTTTGGCATCTTCATATTTGGTGGGATTTTCTATGGCACCACTTCCGGTTTGGTGTTCATGATAATGCTTGCCCGCACACTGCTAGACACACCTAAGAACTTTTGAAGCAATTCTGTTGGGATGTTTTTTGATCACCTCCCCAGCCCAGATTTGGCGCCGAACAACTACTACTAAGGAATTTCAAACTTTGTAAGACATTATGACAAGTGCCTCAATTTGAATGGCGATTATGTTGAAAAGTAATGTAATGTTGTAGTTTTCTAATGTGTATAATAAAAGTTCTGTATCTGCGAGTGTCTGTCATTGATAACCAAACGCAGGTTTATTTCCGAATTGCCCTTGTATTAGCAAAGTGAGGTTTAGCAGGCCGAGCCATGCTGTGGCTCCTGCGCTCTCAGCCTGCTAAACCTCACTAAATTGGACAGAACTTCGGCACCCAACATACACCAGGCTGAAAGGGAGTCCATCCATAAGCCAATCACCAAACTAGGTGGAGCCCTCCAATAAGCCAAAAACCAATGGGCGGTGCTCCCCTCTCATTTCAGAGTGGAGCGTGTTCTGCTGCTGTGAAAGTAAATGAGCAAAACTTTTGCAGTGCAGCAGACCTGTGGTGTCGAGATGCCATGCATGGTAATTGAAACTCACCCAGCTGTTGCCTCAAAGCTATGTTTGTAGACCCTCTGAAAGAAAACAATCTGGAGAAGAACAAATGATGAGAAAGAGCCTGTCCCTTGCAGGGGGGAGAAATAAATGAGGAGGTGGTAGTTGAAGGAAGGGGGTTGAGTTAGGATTGAATGCTGGGAAGGCGGGGAAAGAACTGAATCGCTGAGGATTTGAGACAGAAGTGGAAAGAAGCGCGGAGAGCTTGGGCCGTGCTGAAGGAAAAGGAGAGCGATCCCTGAATTAGACCCGCTAATATTCTAGTCAAGGGACATGTAAAAGCTGAAACAACATTCACTGGTCACCTCGGACTAAATGGCTTTGGTGTGGTAACGGTATCTTCTACCTCATTCGTACCATGCAAAACTTCAGAGTTCCTATGCCTCCCTCTTTCCTCTATGCCTCAGCCTCTGCCTGCTGCCAGTGCTGCCGCTGTGGAGCGAGGTGGGGCAGGGGTGGTGCCACGCAGCCCCCACTGTCCAACCTCATCATCCAGCGAGCCTGCCACCCACCACCCCACCCACGATGGCCCCGGTGAACAGGAATTGCAGGGAGCCCCTGTCCCCAAGAGGCAGCTGGGACTCCCCGCCCCACCCAAGCCCAGCCCCAGAGCTGACCCATGCGACCCAAGAGGGTCGGCAAGGCTCCTCCAGTGGATCAGGCCCTGGCGCCTGCCCTGGTTCCACCCCCCTTCGCTAGAGACCCCTGGATCCCCCCCAGTTCTGCCTGGAGTCCCCCAGGTACCCCTCCAATGCAAGTGATGTCAAGCTGGCCACGCCCCCCACCGTGCCCCAGGGCAACCACAATGTTGGGGCTTATTTTTGGAGCAGAGCTTATATTACGAGCATCCTGAAAAAAACATGCTAGGGCTTATTTTCTGGTTGGGTGTTATTTTCGGGGAAACACGGTATATATCACTATATCAATACCACACCAGTAATATTGTTTAAATTTTTCTTAGAATTACTGAATAGTCACAAATAGTGAGTTTTTGAATACCTGAAAAGAAAATTGTTTTGATAACGATTATGGACAAGGATAGGAGGCATAGACTTAATTAGCTTGTCTTAGTGCAAAATATCTATACCAAAGCACACCCAGACAATGACAATCCTTCCTGAGCATATATAAAAATTGTTTATTTGGAGCTTTCTTAGCACTAAGAAGAAAGAAGCATGAAAGCATAAAAAAGAAACAATGGTTTTTATATAACCATGGAGATTTATTTTTATATCATACAATAGATGTTACATTAAGAGAAGCCATCATATTGGCGGCTCTTTTTGGAGCCGTCCGCTTGGGAAGGCGTCAGAGCCAGCATGAACAGCGGTCAGCAGCTGTTCAGCGGCTTGGAACCTTGTGCCCCGGGAGAAGGGGTCGAGGTGAGTACTCCTGGATAGGAGTAGAGTCCCAAAAGCTCTCCCTTCATTTCGGGAGAGCGAAATTGGGTACTCCTCCGGAGTCCGGGGA